GATCCTGGACACGCTCCCAATGCAGCTCCCGGTGAGAACATGGCTGTGGATTAGGAACCCACAGTTCCAAATGCTGGTATCTCTGTTGAAGTAGTTGACATGGATATGCAGAATGTGGAGGCAGACTTGCAGAATGTGGTGGCAGGTAATGAGTTTGTTGGTGAAGCAGTGGTTGAAAATGCTGGTAATCTGATCCCCACTGTAGCTCGCCCAACTGTCAAGTCAGTCATTGTGGGAGGCCCTGTCCTGATCACTGAACCCATGTCCCCTATTCCTGCTTCTGGGTCCAAGACTCCTCTGCTGCCCCGTGAATTGTTCAAGGTATTATCTTTTATTAACAGATCTTTGCCTGCTTCCATGTTATCATATCTATCCTTGTTAGATATTGATCCTGATACTATTATCCCATCTTATTTCAATGACTTGCCTCTCTTGGCTCATCTTGCTTGCCTTCTGCCTCCACAGAATGATGATCCTCCAATGGACCGGGAGGCTTTGAAGCAAGTTTTAGAGGAAGATGATGACTTGGTGGAAATCTCAGCTGCCAACTTCACCCCAAGGAAGAGGAGGCATGTCAAGGTGAAGGACCAATTAGAGGACAGCTTCCTCAGACGCAGCAAAAGGCTCTCTAGGAAGTTGACGCTGCTGCTGCCGAACCAATTCCCTTGGTCATCATCCCTGCTCCAGGCTCTACCCCAGCACCTCATCTGACCAAGGCAGTCATCCATGGGATAGCAGAAGGCTTTCTCCAGATCCACCCTACTGTGGTATCTACTGCTTTGCTGGACCAGGATATGAACGATGACAAGAACAGATAATGTGTTTGCTCCAGCACCTGTCACTGCGTTGGTGGTGCTTCTTTTGTCAGAAAACTTACCTAGCTCTCGTTGCCGGCCTGCGTGCCGAGGAAAAAATAATGTAAAGTTTGAGCAGACATGTGTTGCTCCTCTCGAGAGCTTTAAGTTTAATCCAAACCAGTTTAAGCTTTATCATATTTATCCTGTTGAGCCTACCCTTTGGATACTGTCAATTTCTAGCGTGTTCCTCCCTCTGTTTGTTGCTCTTATGTGTCTGTCATTTGCTCTGACTTCAATCAGTGTTCCACTCTTGATTTTGGTAGGTGCATGCTAAAGCCCATCAATATCTTTTTGTTTTCTGATCATGAATCACAACAAAAATTCTGGTTTGGAATATAAGAGGCATTAACTCTCAAGCAAAATGGGATGATTTGCGTAGTAAAATTGAAGAGAGTGCATGTCAGATTGTGTGCTTGTAGGAAACCAAGCGTGAGAATTTTGACCCTTTTTCTGAAAAAGTTTCGCCCTAGGTACCTGGACAATTTCAGCTTCTCCCCTTCGGTTGGGGCTTCTGGAGGTGTTATAACCATATTGAACAGCTCTGTCCTAGATGGCACTACTGTCCAATCTAATGCTTATGCTATAACTGTAAAATTTCACAATAGATTGGATAACAAGGATTTCCACTTGACTAATATTTATGGGCCTTCTGCTGAAAAGATGGCTTTTGTTACATGGTTGATCAACCTGGATATCAGTAATTTCGATGACTGGCTCCTGGCTAGTGATTTCAATTTAATTCAATCTGCTGAAAATAGAAATAAACCAGGAGGGGATTTAGGTGAAATGCAGAGCTCGAGCTGTCTCGTGAGGACTCGAACGATCTGTCTCAGTTTTGGAATCGTCCCCCCCCCTGTAGGATCCGACTTCCTCTTATATATCGAGGTAGTTTGGGTACATGACTGTTTAGGGGTTTTTGCCTATGGCCTACATACACCGGAGTCTAGGAGGGTCTTGCAGTGGCGTCGTGTGGACCTTGGTGTTGTAGTGGAGCCGAAGAAGCGCTGGGCGTCGTCTGGTGGCTCTGTTCTGACACGTTGAGTGTCAAGCTATGTCGGCTTGAACCGGCCTCAACCGAGTGCACCTTCTCGAGGCTTCTTGGTGGCGAAGGCAGCCAACTTGAGGGGCTGATGTGTGGGCCCAGAAGACCCCGAGCCCTTGAAGTCAGCGGAGGAGTTTGTCTTCTTGCGTCATGTCCTGTCTATGACCATGTCGGAGGAGCGGTTGACAGGGGCACGCCTGATGGGCAGCACCGAGGAGCACACGAGCCTCGGAGGCTCAGGGCGCCTGTCTCTATCCTGAGCCTTGGCTAGCGCCGAAGGCCGAGAGGGGGCCAAGGATCAGGTCCAGGCTTCTGTTGATCGGGAGCCTGAGGCTCGGGCGAGCCCCTGAGCCTTGAGCAGGTGCGGTGGGCGTGCTCTGGCTTGGCCCAATTCCTTAGTCGGAGGGTGCGCGCGAGCGCACCCGAGAGGTGTAGCTCCCGAGCCCCCGGGCAATCCTGGAAGGGTCGGTCGGGTGGTCTCTCGGTTGGGAACCTTTGATCCCGAGGCTTAACATACCCCTATGTTAAGATGTGGTCAGGTGGCACTCATGACACCATGACACCACTGCTGGATCAGTGGCACTCAAAATTTTCTATGTAATTACTCAAAATTGACACCCCTCACGCTCAAATGTAGGGGATGCCAAGGTCTCTCCTACCCAACGGTTGGTGCTGGCGCCATGACGTGGAGGTAGTTGCGGATGCAAGAGGAGGCTTGAGATGAATGAGGGAAGGCTTGGCCGTGGCAATGTGGCAACAGCAACAGTGTTGTTGAAGCGGTGGTCATTGTGGTCGCCGTGGCATGAAAGTTTAGCTTGCCTCTCTATGGTAAGCATGTGAACACCACCACAGCCTCGAGCTCCTCGCGGCATAGTTGCTGGATGGGGAAACCTTGAGCTCCCAACGATGGTGGCAGCATCATGGCAGCCCACACAGACCAGGCCTAGCAGCAGCGGCGGTAGCCAGAGGGCACACACAGAGATCTTCACCCTTGCGATTTAGGGACCGAGGAGCTATTAATCGGGTGATTTTGTAAATGGCTCCTAAATGAGAATTTAGAGTGCGAGTTAAAGAAATTATGTTAGGTCATATTTGGTTCCTAGGAATTGAGTGGAATTGACAAATAATCTAATAATGAAATAGAAAACACTTTCTAAATATTGGTTTCAATCTAAAGGATCCAAACAGACCCTTAGATATATAGAGAAACACACCATACCAACAATATATCTCCTATAGTTTTATATATGTTCTTTTTGAGAGATAATGGATAATTAAACTGGGATAGATGCTAACAAATCATGACAAACTAACTGCACTTGACTGGATCTAAGAAATACGACGGAACCATATCAGGATTAGGGTTCTTACGATTGAGGATGCCCACGAGACATAAGGAGGACGAAGTGGCTGGAGAGGTAAGCGTCTGACTACACATCCATGATTCACCTACCCACTGACTCCGACGGTGGCAGAGCGGTGCCTGCTGTGGTGGAGTCTGCTTGATCCATTCTGATCCGCCATGAAGCCCATGAGGCGTCGAGACACTCCGAGTCTGCCGGGTGGGGGCACGCACTGCATGTGTTCGGACACCTAGCTCAAAGGAAAATTATAATAAAAATAATATAAAGTTAGCAAATTTTATAGGCCCGTTTCGCACATTATAGGATCACTGAATTCGCCCCACTTTAGTCGATGAGGTGTTGGAATCTCCATGTGGTCCCTAGAGTTTACTGAATTTGATGATTGGATAAAAATCCATATAGAAATTGAAATCAATCATCACATACTAGTATTGAAATGAGCACCCCATCCAACACATGGATGTTTCCTTATTAGGTGCCTACTGGTTTGATTGCCTTGACTCACGGCATCCGTTGCTCTCTTTTTCTCTGAATGTGAAACACAACTTTGTCGGACATAGCCCTAAAGTCTCATTAAGGTAGTCTTTGGGTTGGACATAGCTCGGCGTCGCATTTTATAGGAGGCTGGCCGGGCAGGTGCTGTGCCACCGGCTCGCCTATTCGCCTTGGTGTCCCTTTGGCGGGACAACGGTGGCACGGAGACGATGAGGCATGCTGGCGAGTAAAGACGTGATGGGATGGAACGGGTAGACTAAAGAGGACAGCGACACGTTCTGGGGTGGTTGGCAATGCAGAGCGGCCTTGGGTGTGAGTTCAGCCTTGTGCTGCTGCCTTTGTGCGTGCTTGTTTGCTGTGCCGTGCGCGTGTTGCTTCTGTTGTTTCTGTGTGTGCTGCACGTGCTGCAGCTGTGTACCATGTTGGTTGCGTTGCTTCTCGTGCATGGTGAAGGAGAAGGGAAAGGGAGGTAGCCAGGTAGGTAGAGCCTTTACATCATGATGGCGTCAGAGTAGTTGTGGTCGGCGGAGGGGTCTGATGGGGTGATGCAAGCTGATGTTGTATGCCGTGATGGCGGGTGCGGATGATGTTGGGTGAGGGCGATTGCTGGTGTCGCGTGCCGCTGGAGGATGAGCGGAGTGAAAGAGATCGAGACCTGGAAGTCGGCTCATTATGTTGTCACCAGGCACGATGTGCGGCACACATGTTTGGGTGTGGAACTCATAGGCATGTAGGTGGAGCTTGAGATGGATATGAGCTTCAGGGGAAGTTCAAATAGAGCTCAAATGATGTCTAGTTTTTGAAACAAATTTTGAAAATACTTTTGAGTATAAGTGATTTTAAAAATTTGAGTTTTCAGGGTGAGCCGAATCATCCACTGAGCCGGCGGTGATTAATTTTATCACTGCTATTTTTGAACCAGTGGTGATAATCTTGGTTATCTCAGCCCACTTTCACAAACCACGGCGAAAACCGCCAATCTAGGGGGGTGTCACAAACCGGCGATGGTGAGCATTGCGTAGAGTGAAGGCATGCAATGGTGTTCACATATAGATTAAGGTAATATTGAAATATGTTGGGATCATGGATCACGGAAACAACTACATTGGTATGAAAATAAAATAACATAAATAAATATAAATCACTGGACTACAAGGTTACATCACATATAAGAAATACAAGCCTCCTTTCTCAGTCACATCTGATAAACTACATTTCAAATTGTTGTCTCTTCTTTACTTCTCAGCCAAATCGAGCCTCATTCATGTTGTCTTTTGCCGAATCGCATAAAGGGCACATGTTTAGATTTGCTACACAAGACTTACATGCACATAGGTGTAGGCATGGCAGGATTAGCATACAAGCATCACTAACACAACAAAGCTTGCAGATAGGAGTTGGATGTGCGTTCTCTATAGTTGTTTCCTCCATGTTCATTGCTTGATTACAAGAACTTCTTGAGCCTAATTCATTGGATGAAGCAAGAGCATACACATTTGTCCCCTGCATAGGAGGCACCAGGGAAATAAGCAACTGATGCATTTTGTATGTCCCCTCAGCGAGGTACATCCACTCATCTCTGTCCTGCAATGCAGTTTGCAGAACCTGCTGAGTGTTCTGTAGTTCCATGTGTAAATGGGCAATCTCTTCATTCTTTTCCATCAGCACATCCCTCGCCATAGATTCTGTGAGGTTCGACATAGTTTCCTTTTGTAAAGATATGTGTTGTTGCAGTGCAAATGTACCTTTTCGTTCTGTTAAGTGAGAAAGGAAATAATAGACAATTAGATTTAAAGAAATTTAACATAAACTTCACAATTAATGTACTTCAAAAAAACCTTACATGGGCTTGAAGAACCTGGTCTACTTGAAGCCTGTGCTGCTCAAGGGGAGTCCTGAATGGTTATTTAAACAAATTTAACATAAACTTCAAAGTTAATGTACTTCAAAAAAACCTTACATGGGCTTGAAGAACCTGGTCTACTTGAAGCCTGTGCTGCTCAAGGGGAGTCCTGAATGGTGACCAGTTTACTTGCTGTTGGCCAGCTATATTGCTACCTAGATCCTGATTTAGCGATACAACGGAAGGCAGGTTCCATGGTTGCTCTGAAGGTTGATTCACAGGACGGGAATTAGAACAATCCATTGCAAGTACCAGACCAGTATGGAATATTTGTATGACTGAATCAGAATAGAAGGACGCTATTTATAGCGAACAACTGATGATACATAATCTATTGAGTGAGTCACCTAGCCATATCTTTTGAAAGATACAATATTAACTTTACTCATTGATTTATGGCATTTCCCAAGGGCATCGACATGCAAGTCTACGTACCCTGCTGCTTACCTATATTATTAATCACTGCTAATCGGTGACTCCTCACATGATGAAAACGGATACCATTAAACTAATTCAAAGTCTGGTCAAACTAGTAGTTGATAAGCACATGACGTCTTTCCATTCATAAATGCTTAATTGTCGTATATATATATATATTTTTTTTACTCGGTATGATGTCATCTGAGTTCTGCTAACATAGTGGGGTTGATGTAGATGTGGTGATATTCACCAACCCATGAGTTAGGGCTCTCTCTTGATGAAGAACTCGATGTAGATCAGCAGTGTCCTGGCCTCCTAGAATAGGGGAGCAAGCTTCCAAACCTCTCGCAACCTGAAAGATCGGTTTGGTAGGTTTAGGTGTCCCAAGAATTAGACTAATTCTGAAATCACCTTTGGGTGTTGAAGGGGGGGGGGGGTTACCAACCGGCGGTGATGAACATTCTGTGGTAGTGAAGGCATAACCCGGTGTTCAAATATAAAAAAAAACTTGACCTGCGGGGGTTAAGACGGCCCTGGGCATTGCCTGATAGAGAAGATCTCTCACGTAGATCAAGAAAACCCCTGAACCTCCTTTCCTCCACCCTTACATGGTGGCTCCATTGCCCATGTGAGTGTGGGCTGGGCCTTAAGTCGTGCTTTGGCATGGAGTCAGACAAGGGGATTTTTTTTTACCTAGGCCATGTAAATGCACTCCCACTGAAAGTCTTAGCCACTGCGCTAAGAGCCCTTTCGCGGTGTTCAAATATAGATTAAGGTAAAACTGAAATATGTTGGGATTAAGGTCTCATGGAAAGTACTACATCAGTACGAAGACTAGAATAACATAAATAAATGTAAAACACATGATTCCAGAGTTTACATCACATATAAGAAATACAAGCCTCCTTTCTTAGTCACATCTGATAAACAACATTATGGACTGCTGTCTCTTCCTTCTCGGCCAAATCGAGCCTCAATCACGTTGGCCTTGGCCGAATTGCAAATAGGGCATATGTTTAGATTTCCTACACATGACTTACATGCACATAGGTGTAGGCATGGCAGGATTAGCATGCAAGCATCACTAGCACAACAAACCTTGCAGATAAGAGTACGATGTGCGTTCTCTAAAGCTGCTTCCCCAATGTTCACTGCTTGATTACAAGAACTTGTAGAGCCTAATTCATTGGATGAAGCAAGAGCATATGCATTTGTTCCCTGCATAGGAGGCACCAGGGAAATAAGCAACTGATTCATTTCATATGTCCCCTCAGCGAGGTACATCCACTCATCTCTGTCCTGCAATGCAGTTTGCAGAACCTGATGAGTGTTCTGTAGTTCCATGTGTAAATGGGCAATCTCTTCATTCTTTTTCAGCAGCACATCCCTCGCCATAGATTCTGCGAGGTTCAACATAGTTTCCTTTTGTAAAGATATTTGTTGTTGCAGTGCAACCTGCACCTTTTCATTCTGTTAAGTGAAAATGGAAATAACAGAGCATTAGATTTAGACAAATTCAGCTTAAACTTCGTAATTAAAGTACTTCAAAAAAACCTTACATGGGCTTGAAGAACCTGGTCCACTTGAAGCTTGTGCTGCTCAAGGGAAGTCCTGAATTGTGACCAGTTTATTTGCTGTTGGCCATCTATATTGCTACCTGGAGCCTCATTCAGCGATACAACGGAAAGGAGGTTCTGTGGTTGTGGCTCATGGGCATACAAAGGATGGGAGTTCGAACAATCCATTGCAAGTAGCAGACTTGTATGGAATGTGTGTTTGACCGAATGAGAATAGAAGGTCGCTATTTATAGCGAAGAACAGACGGTGCGCAATCAACCGATTGAATCACCTATATCTTTTGAATGATACAATATTAACTCTACTCATTTAATTCTTGTGTTTCCAAAGAGCATCTACATGCAAGTCTAGGTACTCTGCTGCTTACCTATATTAATCACTGCTAATCGACGACTCCTCAAATGATGAAAAACAGATACCATCAAACTAATTCAAAGTCTAGTCAAACTAGTAGTTGATAAGCACATGACGTCTTTCCATTCATAAATGCTTAATTGTCGTATATATTTTTCTTACACCTTATGAACTTTTACTTACGTATCATATTCTTTGTTCATAGTACTAAAACATAGCATATCCTTTGTTCACAGGGCAAAGAAAATAAGTTTGAAATTTTCTTATTTGATAAGTAATATATTGTTGGTGCTTGCTATTCATCATCACCATGTGGTACTTAATTAGTGGATACTATAAAATTTATTCCACTTAGTGATGACTACCCCGCTCCTAATTGCAAGTATTTATGAGTTTCGTATCCAATTCAACTAACTTACAGATTTAAATGAGACTTCTAGAAGAAAACATAATGGCATAGAAGACACATGATTATGTGGAATTAGATAATCATTCACATGGCTTCATCGACAACCACCAAGTGACGAAGACAAATGAGTTTTTTCATTGTAGAATAGAAAGAGAAAATATTTGTAGACGAAACCACTATGAAAAAAGATGGAGAGCTAACAAGATGTTGAATGGAAGGATCTTGTATCACATTGAACACTACTACAAGATTTTTTTAGGAGGCGTTGGGCTTTTTTTAATGGAGGCGGGCAGTAATTTTGCCCGCCGCCGTTATTCTCAGGCTGGCCAGCCTCCTGAGAGACCGCCTTGGTTAATATTTAATGGGTGCCCGCCTCGGTCAATCACCCATTAACTGAGGCAGTTGCATTACAACAACTGCCTCTGTGACAGCAAGTTAGCGCGGGAAGAGAAGTACGAGAAGATCATAACTGGAGCGTCCAGCTACGTGTCCCGGATTACGCGTCGCCAGACCTCTTTGGATTAGGGAAGATAAAGTAGCAGACATCTTAATTAGTTTCAAATGTAAATATATGACATTCATGTAATAACTTGAATGACGTTTGTTCGTGGTACGATAAGGACGAGACGGCACCAATGAATGTGTTATATGTTTGTGCTCAGTATGCGTATTTTTCTACTTTTATATATGTTTAATTTGCGAAATCAGAATTCGATTCAAATTCAAATCAAATTTTTGAGGCTATTTTTTAAATGGAAAAATATTAACAGAGGCGGGCACGTAATAAATGGTTGCCTCCATTAATCCTTTAGCTAAGGCCGGCGCCTTAAGGCGACCGCCTCAGTTAAAACATTAACGGAGGTGGGCAAGTTCGGACAACAGCCTCTGTTAATGAACCTTAACCGAGGCGGGCAAGGCAACCGCCTCCGTAAAGTCAGGATTAACCGTGACCTTTTGATCGGAGGCGTTGCAATGCCCACCTCCATTAACCTAAAATGCCCGCCTCCATTAAGTTTTCTGTAGTAGTGGAAATGAGCAATGACGGAGCCAGGAAAAAATATATAGGTGGGGCGAATTTCAAAGAGGAAATGAACCAAAAAGGCACCGTATTCACAACGCACCGCATTCACATACTACAATCACACAAATCATGACAAAAACGCTGCAATCACATGTTATGGCAAAAAGTAGATGAGGAAAACATCATCGGCATACTCTATTACTGTCTTGCTGATAATTTGAGATGCTCGTTAACTATCGAACTGATAAAATCATAAAACAATATCATTTTTTTTGTCGTTGTTCTTGCCAATGCCACTCCTGGGACACCTCTACTTGAACCCTTGGCCGAATTCAGATGTTGGCGGAGCTGCTGCCCTTCTCTGCCGCTAACCTGTCCGCGGCCACGGCTGGCCCCAGCACTTGGTTCCTGTACCTCATGCCCCTCCTCCTCTCCTCCTCCCTCCATCGCTAGATGCTGCTCCTCGGCGGCCCGGTGGGCGCACCTAGGCTGCTTAGGCACCTGGCGGTGGCTGGCCGGCGGCTGCTAGGGCCTGGCTTAGGCCATCAGATGGGGTAGCGCCTGCCGCCTGGTGACGGCCGACAGATGGGGTAGCGGACTAGCGGCGTAGCGCCGTAGCTGCGGACGGGAAGTTCCTATGTAAAAAAAACATAAACTACAAATTTTGTAGATCACATTTTTCTTTGCAACTTTCATGTAAATTTTATCTCCATGGAAGTTCCTATGTAAAAGTTCCGATTTTTTTAAAATGAGCTGACAGAAAAAAAAATCTGCAAAATAATTAAATATAAGGCACCACATGCGCTCAAACTCATGACCTATTGGGCAAACCACTGAGCAATGTGTTTGTGATAGTTAGTGCTTTCATACTATATATCGACATTTCTTGTAACCGCCAAGCTAAGAATCTATATGTGAAAACTGTTACACCATTTTCCCCATGTTTTCAAAGGCATCGAAATTTACCCTTTCTATGTAGATATAATCGTTGTGAAAAATTAATATAACCAAGATTTGTCAAAGTTTGTGACAAGGTTTCTTAGTGTACTAAGGAATTTTGGTAAATTTCTGAGTAGTGTAACACCCAAAAATTTGCTTATTTTGAAATAGACTTAAAATGATTTAATATGTATTTTTGTGCTCATGAAAACTTAGGAGAATAAAAATTTTCATTAAATTAAAATTTTGAAACAACGTTTGAAATATAAGAAAAAGAAAATAAAAAGAGAAAAACTCCCTTCTCTCTCTTTTGGCCCGAAGGCCCAAGTCTGCTCCCTCCTTCCCTCCCGCGCAAACCAAGCTTAGGAAGCCCAACGGGCAGCCCAGGCGGACAGCCCGCACACGCCTCCCTTCTCTCCGTCGGCCTAATCTGCGGGCCCGAGCTGCTCCTATCGCTGACCTGCAGGACCCACACGTTAGTGAGACCATCCCGCCTTCTTTCTTCCTCCTCCGGCGCCTTCCTTTTTCAGAATTCGGCTCCTTCCTTATTTGGTCGAGCTCGATCCGAGCTCGGATCCCCTCCTTCCTTCAATGGTGCAGCCCGAGGCCTATATGAGGCGAGTCTGTGCACCCCGCCGCCTCATCCCAGCCTTACTACCGCAACCCTCGTGGCAGAGCAACTGCACCGAGCCACCAAACCCTAGCTACCGCCGTCGCTTTCGATCCACCTCACTGCAGTTTCACCGACGCTTTCAGCCGCTCCCCTGTCTTCGGTTGGTGGTAAGGAGGCCGTAGGTACCGGCCGCACTCTCTCTCCCGCTCTGTCTTTCGCATAATGGACCGCTGAAGACCCGCCTTAACCCCGAGCCGCCAAATCGAGGCTGTGCTGCTTCTACTCCCTCCGATCCTCTAGCCAAGTTCGCCGCTCGCTTCTCTCCCTCCCCGTGCTTTTCTTTTGACCAAGGACGAACGGAATCACTGTTTGGGCAAACTCTGGTGAGGTCCGAGCACCGCTGGCCATGGCGCCGCCACCTACGGTCCGATGCCGAACACCCCCAACTCCCTCTTTCTTTTCTTGGCCGTCCAATTCGTGATCTGTTGCCTAGATCGGATGTTGTTGACTCCGGTCAATACCGGTCAGCCTACGATTTTTGCATAAACCCTTTCCTGTTTTCTTCTAATAGAACCTGCAGTCCCTGATCCTGATTCAAAATCCGTTTTATTTATTTTTATTTTGAAAGTTCAGACCCAGTATTTATAAAATTGCCACTGATCTTGTTTTACCTACAAAATCTCCGTTTTAGCTCTGTTTTGACTCATTCAAGTTGCGTTAGATTCATAATGATGTAATATACACCTTAGTAACAATGTTTACCATGTTACTTGCTCTTGAATTTCATGGTTTAAGTCCTAACTTGAATAATGATTATGTAACTAGATTTATGAATAAAATATGATTATTTTTTCTTTATTTTTCTAATTCAAATATAAATTGACTTAATTCAATATAGTGATCTCTTTGAAGTATCTTATACATGTTTTATATAATCATTAAAATAAATGAAGCTTATAGTTTTCTTTTTCTCTTATAAAATAAAACTTTTGGTAGATGTTTCTTGTTCACCATAGTTTTGATTAACATGCTTTTCGCGTCCAGCAGGATCAGATGGAGACAACAGCGCTGACTCGGCACCGTTACAGCACTTGCCGTGTTCACCATCAACACCCTTGGCGCCTCCTACTTCAGGACTGTCTCACCCTGCTACTCCACCTGTGTCTACACCAGCACCACCTGCGCCAGTGGAACAAGCACCGGCACCGGCACCTGTGCCCATGGAACCAGCGCCGGCACCGGCAACAGCACCGGCGCTAGCTCGTCACACGATGGTGACTCGTCTCCGTAACGCCATCACCAAGCCGGTGATTCTCACAGATGGCACCATCCGCTACGAGTACAAGCACCGTGCTTTTCTTGCAGCACCCGCTTCCTACCGCACTGCCCTTGGAGATGCTTGCTGGCGTGCTGCCATGGAAGATGAGCACTCTGCTCTTCTCCGTAATGGCACATGGACATTGGTGCCACGGCCGCCTGGCCAGAACGTGATCTGCAGCCGGTTGGTGTTCAAAGTAAAGCAAAAGGCTGATGGCTCCGTCGAGAAATTCAAAGCCCGCCTTGTCACCCAAGGCTTCACCCAGCGCTGTGGTGTGGACTACTTTGACACGTACAGCCCCGTTGTTAAGCCGGTTACTGTGCGACCTGTGCTCGCCATCGCTTTGTCACATAACTGGAGTGTGCAGCAAGTCGACATCAGCAATGCATTCCTCCATGGCATTTTGGAGGAGACAGCCTACATGTGCCAGCCGCCAAGCATCCTGATTATGTCTGCAAACTGCACAAGTCAATTTATGGACGCAAGCAGTCACCACGAGCTTGGTACTCACGT